GCTAAACCCCCAAACCCAAAAGCCCTTCCTACAGTCTCCATTGTACTACCTTTTTGGGGTTGCCTTCTAGGAGCCACAACATAAAATGTGCGAATTCAACTTTAAATAATCAAGGAACTACCATGGAGACCATAGGTACATGCTAATTAGAACAGGGTTTGGGGGGTTCCTTATGACAACTTAAGTACAGTGTAATATACCCCCAAAACCCTTTCCTCAATACTAAAGTTACTAAGGCCCCTATATTATAGTAGTATGGATCTTAGCATGATCCCCCCCAGCCAACCTAGTATAGGTAATAATTTAGAGCCCTACAATAGTAGGTACATTCTACTTCGTAGAGCTTAGGCCAGAGCCCACATCCCAGCGCACCACGACGTTCTCCTGGCTCTGCGACTCCTTCAGCTTTTTGTCGTAGTCCGCCTTGTAGAAGTGTAGGGAGGAAAGGTTTTCCGTTAAGGATCCCTTTCAGGGCGAGTTCCGTGCGCGTTAGACGTTCAGTGCTTTGTTTTCTTTGTTTGGGCATTGTAGACGGGCTTTACAAGGGCTCCAAAGCGTCCTATTATAGGTTGCTTACTGGTTCGAACAGGGATCCACGAGGCTTGTATAGGGGCTTGAAGTTCAACGCGGATATAACGGCGCCTATAACAGGGCTGTATAGGGGTTTAAAAGGGTTCTATGCTTGTCTTATTCAGGACTGCTGACGGGTTGAACAAGTCTAAACGACAAGGGGTGCAGAGGGGTTCTGTCGAGTGGTTTAAAGTCCTATAGGAGTTTCCTTCAGGGTTTGGGAGGCTCCTTGGGGTTTGGGCTTGGGTCTTCGGATTGTTGGACTGGAGTCTCGTGACCTTCGCGTTTAGGATCCGGTTCTCGGTCGTGGGGATTTCCAGCTCGCGGTTTCGGGGTAAAGATCCGGAGTTAGGCCTCACCTCCTAGAAGGCTCAAAGAAAAAGATAACACGATGCCGCCGTCACACACAGACTACTACAAGGCCCGAATGTTTAACTCGACAAACCACCGTCATAACCCCCAGGAACCTAAGTTACCATGTACAGATCCCTGATTAAGCATTCCAATCCCTGGATTCGGATTGGAATACCCTGACCTGAGAGTCCATATACCTCAAGCGTACATACCATGCCTTGGAAGTAATTACACCATAGGAGGGATCCTGATGCAATTTTCGGGCCTTTAAGGACCGCAAGTCTATGCCAACCCCGAAACCCAACTCTCTGCCGCCTCCATCTTCACCAGTGGGGCGAAGACGTGCTGATACTGGTAGGCGTCCTCGCTTCGCATGCCACTGGGTTTGCTTCGAAACTCTGTTTGTTCATGAGATTGACTACATGTTTAAACAAGACTTTCTATTACGCGCATAGGGCCTTTAATTAAGCAATCTGAAAACGGGGTTCCCTGCAAAGGCTAACCAATGCTGCAGAGCGCGGTCTACTGGCGAAACATGCCAAGTGACTTCGCCTGGGTTCGCTGCAGTTTTAGCACCCTCGGCCTTCTTCCCTACAACCCAACATCTGTAAGTAAACCGTGTACCCTAAACCCTAGGGGGCACTAGACCCCAAAAAACCCTAAATCCGCTGAAAGCCAATACTACTGTTGATGATAAACCCTGCATCACACATTCCCCAAAATCCGAAGCCCGAAACCCGCCGACATGAAAGGGTGACGGGCTCTTGCACGAAACAACGCACAAAAAACCTGAACCCTAAACCCCAAACACCCCCAAATCCCTGAAACCCTAAACCCCCAAAAACTCTAAACCCCAAAAGCCCCAGAGCTCCCCAAAAAAAAAGAAAGGGCCGGCCAGGTCCTCGTACCGGAGCATTACCGGCTGCGGGTCATCTTCCGACCCAGGGCCAGCCTTTTTATGGGTTTTGTGATTGTGGCGAGTGGGAGACTTGATTGGGGTTTAGGCTCTCTGGCTTGACTCTGCTGCAGTAAGCGCTTGCGGACAGTGGACATCTAGGGGCCTGGGAAAATTTCGTGTATACTTAATACCCAGTAGTAACCGAAGAAAATTAAACGATAATCTACCCCAATTCCCTTTGCACACAAGGCCCAAATATCAAAACGTATCAAAAGCGTCATAAAAGGGCTCAAGTGGCCTAAGGTTTCAGTGAGGGGTGCAACTTAACTCTAGGGGTGGGCGCTTTGAGGCTGCAGTATGGGTGTCGTGGATGAGGGTGAGGATTTCGGGTGCTTGAAGTATACAGGGCTGAGTTTGAGGAAGCGATGGTGTGACATTCGCGGCATTGTCTGCAGACGATAAGGGTTTGTGGGGGGGGGGGCTCCTTAGAAAGAGCTGCCCTAAACCCTAAACCCTAAACCCTAAACCTGTATTGCTTTGCCTCTTGACTGATGGTAAGAATCGGATGTGAGTCACCAAAGGCCCCAACTCTTAAACTTAGCTCTACAACCCCCGAAAAACCCAAACACTGGTCTCGACCAAACATCCTAACCCGAATATAGCGGCTTACTAGACGGTCTCGGATGTTGGTGGTATATTCTGGTATAACCATAGACTTTAAGTGGGGACTATGAGGGACGACGGTTTTCCCCCCTAAGCCCCAAACACCAATCAGCCGTAAAAACTAAACCCTAAACCCTAAACCTGTATTGCTTGTCCCTAAACCCTACTTAAAGGATCATGGGACTTAGTAAGTATGGTTATAATTAGGGTAACTATACTTGTAAGCCCAATTAAGGGACTTATAACCTTACTTACTAAGTCCTCCAAGTAGAGGGCTTTAGGGTTGGGGGCTTGGGGCTTTGCTTTGCCGGCCTTCCCCTCCAGATCCTCCAAGTTGGCATCAGGATTCCTGGGTCCGGGATTTGGGGTTTAGGGGCTTAGGGCAAGTTTAAGGGTTTAGGGTCTAGGGGCTTAGGGGCTTAGGGCAAGTTTAGGGTTTAGAGGTTTAGGGTTTAGGATTTAGAGGTTTAGGGTTTAGGGATAAGGGTCTAGTGGTTAGGGGCTTAAGGCAAGTTTAAGGTTTAGGACTTAGGGGTTTAGGGCAAGTTTAGGCTTTAGTGGTTTAGGGGCTTAGGGGCTTAGGGCAAGTTTAGGGTTTCGGACTTAGAGGTTTAGGGGCTTAAGGCAAGTTTAGGCTGTAGGACTTAGAGGTTTAGGGTTTAGGGATAAGGGTTTAGTGGTTTAGGGTGTAGGACTTTCTGCGCAAAGAGAGGGAGGGTGAGTGATGTGGGGGCCTTAACAGTGGGAGTTCGGCTAAAGAGTTCTAGCCGGGCGCGGCGTCGCGCGCGGTAAATTAAACCACTTAAAACGCCGCGCCGCCCGAAGGGCGGCGCGGCGTCAGCCGCGCCGCTCCAGATGCCACGCCGCCTTTTTTGCTGGCAAGCGCACCTAAGACCGCTCTGCCGGCCCCATTGGCGCGCCTTTCTGAAGGCGTGG